AAGAACAAGAAGAAGAAGCGACACATTTATTAGGAGACTTGATGACATAGAATAAGTGATGTATTTGAATAAAACAGTAACATCTGCGAGCCTTTTCCTCATTTCTGTTCCCCATTTCATTCCTTCATCTGTCTCCCCAAATCCTTCTTGAACCGACCCCTGTTCTGACTTGTTTTGCAAAAATGTAGTGCGCATTATGCAATCAATGTCACGTCCCCATACTTTCTTTAAAACCTAAACTAAGGCTCTTCACACATATATAGACAAGGCTTACTCTCTAGATAAGGCTGCCATTCATCGTCTATCCATCTACCAAAACCATCCCACACGAGCGTGCAGTTCTCTGGACACCATTCTTGACTGTCAAAATCCGCCATCAACAATTCTAGTAATAACGGAATAATGAGATTTGACGGGAAATAACTCACTTTAATACGAGACATTCTGCGCTTGTCATGCACAAAGGTTTTAGTACAAGGCTTCGTACTATATTAAATTAATGTATTTCTCCTGTCACGAATGACTGAGCATTGCAAACGAAACCTCGCATTGAAACCTTTGTGCGTGACAAGCGAACTAATATCTCGGAAATGGGCTATTAATTACGAATTCCGAATCACATACACATGTAATATGAAGGTGGTTGGGCTCTGGGGTCGTCTTTGTTCAAATGATTAAGGCATGGTTGGTTTGTAAAATGCTTGGCTTTGCAATTAGTCACTAGCCACATTTGAGAAATAGCAATCGGTTCATCATAGGAAGGGGAAAAGTAWATAAAATAAAATGTAAAAATTAGTGGCGTGCCACATTTCGTCTTATGTGTTTTGGGACCCCTGATCAATACTTCTCAGGGTTCGTCCCAGACATGAGGAAAAGTATTTCATGTGTTCTTACCTTGTTTTTCGTGGGTTGGTGGYTCTTTTACTGTGATAGTGATAGTCGAACCATGTCTAAACTTCTGATCAATGTAATCATCTTCAGAATGCAGAGAGTCCTCGCGCTGAAAAGACCCGTGTCTGCAGCCTTCGACAAACAGCAAGTCACACAATATAAACTATTACAATCCCCGCAATTCCTATCCAAGACCGTGGGGTTTCATTGCAGCCGGTTCTGGTAAGGTCCTCAGTTTTCAATGTTTAACTACTGACAATATGTCTCGTGTATTCATATATTATCGAACCTTATGTGATCTCTATGATAACGACGTTATTCGTGTCTTATATTCATTTTTACGATTTCAGTGACGGGTCCAGAACGATCGTAAGGGGGATGACTGTTACCTAGAAAGGCATGACATAGCGTTCTTTTTGGATTTACCTTTTCTTTATTCTTTTAAATATTCTTAACTCCAAAAGGGGGGTGGGGGCTATTCAGCCTATACACCCCTCTGGCTCCGCCCTTGGAGTTTTTAAACAATAAAAGGATACATTACCATCGAAAMCTCTCCGTGGAAAATCCACCATTTATTACCAATTATCCCCTCCCCTCCCCCACAGACAATTCCCAAACCGTTCATGTTCATTGAAGGTCTTACCTTTTCTAAACCAATCATATGGCGGATTTTTCAACCCGTGACAAAGCGAGTAGTCCAGGGTCAGCTGTGCTGTATATGTCCCAGGCTCAAAGAGTAGAAGCGCCATCTCGTAGGTCCCATTTCCCAGATCATACATTGACCCCATTAGGCTGGAACGTCCGATGACTTTGAGCCTCCATGAATCTCCCCCAATAACTTTTGACGTGTTTTTCATTGAAACTGTTTGAATATAAATCTTAGTGAATTGTCCTGCGAGTTTAGGGTCCACCCAGGCAATATAGCTATCATTAGCATTGGTACTTGAGTCCTTGGGCCACTTTTCGTACCCCCACTGACGGACCCGTCCCTTGCAGGACGCGCTAAGTGAGCGCCAATCTTGTCTGGCTTGTCTTTCTCGGCACCAGTCTCTTTTGAACTCTTGGTAGACATCGCCACHTGTCACTGGTAAAACAGTGACGTATACGAAACCTAACAACCAAAGTATCCACGTCGCCATGGTGATGGGCCAGAGGCYGTTGAACGTACTTTCACATTTTAATGGGAGATTCTAATCATGAAATGAAAAATTCCTTTTAACAGTTTCTTATTATGATCCATATTGAAAAAGAAACATTCATTTCATATTTCATTACAATTACATTACAAGAACAKCGTTTAAAGTTTTGAGTATTTTTGCGCCACGCTTCTCATGATTGCATTAATACTTACAATTGTAAATCACCAAAATATTTTGTTATAATTTCGAAATGAAACGGTTATTATATAAATAAAAACAGTTTTATTTTAGAGAAAAATAATTGCTGTTTTGATTGTGATATTGCTTTTGAATTAAACTTATTAATTATAAACTAGAGAACCTCAGTTTTACGGTCCGAGCAAACCATAACTTCTCGCCGCCTGACATTAGTGGAAAATTGTGCTTGATGTCATCATACCTTGATATCTTGTCAAAGCCTCCAGGGATCCATTAAAAAGAGCCTTGTACAGAGGGAAGGGTAAAACCATGAATGTTCGGTGGTCGTGACGATCTACGCATGGATACCCGTGGTGTTGATCATCAGCCAAAGTACCTGCCGTGTTCGTCGCTAGATGGGAAAGAGGATTGACCTTTCTTGCACGGATCACAGAGCAAGTTAAGCGTATGCACTATTTTCATAAACGCTCGTGATGCTGCGCCCATTCGTAAATGATATAAGGTAAAAAATTTTTGAGCGTCTTTAGAAAACTTAAGTTTCTATAAACATCTCCTCCCCACCATACTACACAAACCCACACATAAAGAAGATAACTAGTTAAAAACTAGTGTGAGCTGCGTCGATGTTTCTAATGAAACCCACATATACCTATTTCAAAAAATGTCGTCATCTTATAGGCGAAAAGCGATAGAACATAGGCTATAATAGCTGTAATGACTTGTGTTCATGCTTTTTGTTCTCGTCAAGAGCTTGGTCCTCTCGAGAGGGAAAAAAAAACCCGGATTCCCAAATTAGGAATTGTTGGGAATTTCTTTGAATTCCCAATTCGAACACCAACATTGGGATTTATTGTTGGGAATTTCCTTCTAATACCCAATAGAAAAACAAAATTCCCAACAAACTAACATTGGGAATCAGTGCCACGTTCCCAATTTCGTTCTCTCTGGGAATTGGATRGGAATTTGTTGGGAATTCAGGGAAATTCCCAACAATTCCCAATTTGGGAATCCATTTTTTTTTTCCCTGTGAGCTCCATCTCGGAATGACCGAATCCCCTATCGCCATGACAAAGTTTTTTGAAATAGGTGTATGGAGGTTGACGAGTCGTCTTGCTATCATCCTTACAATATACGTTTGGCAGTGAAAATTGGAAATTTAGTTGTAATTGGTTTAATAATTAAAATTTCATAGATTGACAGAACTATTACTGACCATGAAGCTTTGGACTAACCTGGGTTGCCAGAGGTGTTCTTGCTTTACCAGGCAGGAAAACCAGTCACAGTTTGTTGGGACAAACTAAAAAGTGCTAGAGCAAGAGAGCCTGGATAATTCCCATTTATTTTGTTACTGGACATAGTATGTGAGCCAGGAAAAGTTTGTTTAATATTTCCTTAGCGGAGGGGGGTGGGGGATAAGCAGTATGTCTCTTAGAATATCTTTTCATAAACCCAACCTTCTACAAAAAAAATATTAAAAATTCCCTACTTCTTTTCTAATGTCAGAAAAATAAGGAGCTTACAGGAAACCAAAAAGTTACCAGGAAAATGTACAGTATGAAAAGGAGAACCATGCAATTTTATAGAAAACATCAATAACACAGGCAGAAGAGATAACTAGCTAAAAACTAGTGTSAGCTGCGTTGGTTTTTCTAATAAAACAGTAATAAATAAAAAGGTAAATTATACACCGTTAAAAGATGAAGGGTGCTAGTCCTTCGTCGGAGTAAAAGAGGCAATAAACTTGAATGATATTTACACTTTTATTTTACAATTTTTCTAATAAACATAAATGAACATGACTTTTTTTAGAATGGAGAAGAAGTAAATAAATGGAAACTTGGATTATCTATTTTACAAAACATTATCAGGATGAGGCTGCAAGAGGGATAAGGCAAAAACTTACTAATGTATTTCATCTACTAGATACTTTATCCAGCTCCACGAGGGGTGCTAGTACACGGCTTTTGTTTGCTTCTACGATGTGACCATTCATAATCATTTCCTCTAAAATCATGTGTACTTTGYCTAAATTAAACATGATCTAAAAATGCATTAAAGAAAAATACTGTCTTGAAACGATATGTTTTACAATATGTTCTCACTAACATCAGGCCCATCCTTATCCCCCCCCCTATCCTATCCCACCCCACCCGATACCCCAGACTTAAGTCTARCTTTGTTTGGTATCGTTTTTTGAGGCCCACACAATAATCAAACTTTTACATTAGGCTCTCAGACTTAATTTTTGCATTCTATATAAACAACAATCATAWCAATATTGTAACCTAAATAATCATCTTTACATTATATCATTGATTGTGTCATTCATTGAATTTTACTCAAAGGATACATCCAACTCACACTGAAAAAAAAGGAAAAGAATTAAAACATTTATTCTTGAAACCAATAGCAGATGTATCAGAGTTACACTCTATTAGCTTCAAACAACATTGTCCCCTTCRCAGTTCCCYGTGTGATCTTAAAAGGTAGCTGTGCCTTTGCAGTGGCGGATCCAGGACTTTAAGAGGGGGGGTTCATTTTTGCAAATCTYGGCACAACAAWAACRTTCTCTTGCATCATCATTTTTCCCATGAGGCACATCACTGGCATAGGGGCGCTCCTGATAAGGATAACCTTTCCACCAGTCCAGGCCYGATTATTGTGGGCGAAGGTGCTAATTTTCAAAAAGTGGACCTACCATACTTTTATTTATTTATTTWAAAAAATATAAAAWATMMAAGGTACCAGCCGRTGGGGGGTTCATTTGCACCCAATGAACCCCCCTAAATCTGCCACAGCTTTGTATTGAAGCAAGACGAACAGTAAGCTTGCAATGATAGAGACCTATTCTTAACACCTTGGACAATATTATTCACGTCTCTATCACTGCAAGCTTACCGTTCGTCTTACTTCAAAGCAAAGGCACAGCTACCTTTCAAGATGGTGCAGGGAACTGTTAAAGGGAATATTGTTTCAAGTTGAGGTGGTTGGGTAAATGATGGAGTAAATAATATAAGAACATTCCATGAGTTGTACCACTAGATACGTCTAATTACGGCCATTCTCAATCACACGTGCCCTCTAGCGATTGTTTTTGTCATGACAAAGTAGATTTTGGTGGACGTCAATCAAAGCATTTCCATGACATTCTGTAGGCACGTGCCCTTATAGCTTTGTGTTTTCCGACAATGTGACGGGAACRCCTTGTGATTGTCGTCCACCAAAACCTTCTTCGTCRYGACAGAAAAAATCACAAGAGGGCGCGTGTGATTGAGAATGGCTGTAATATACTTCTCAAGTACCATTTCAATACCAGCTTAGTCTGTGTTTTATGTTTTGAACCCCGACAATAATAATTATTTTGCAATAAATTGTTTGCATACATCAGTGGAATYGATATAACTGCAAAATTAAAAAGTTATGTCGTTTAACCAATTTCTGTTTGCAAGACTGCAAGTTATCCAGCACAAAAAGGCAAAAAAAAAGTTGCTTCAAAAAATTCAACCCAACAAATTAAAGCAGGATCATAAGTGACATGTCTCATCCAAAGCCATAAAATTCTGAATGCCTAAATAAAAAAGTGGATAGCTAATTGGTAYTTATTCGTTTTCTGTCTTAAAGACTTACCACACTTTCAAAGTATTTGTCTAATATTTCCACAAGATTATGAATAAACTCTAATATCCCCAACTCATTCTGTGGAAAAATAGAGATCAAATGTTGGCATCGAAAAGGAAATAACAGATTTGAAAGCAAAAAYAAGTGCTTGTCAATTCTTGGTTTGCAATCAATCCCAAGATAGCACAATAACAAAAGGGATGTCCGCCATGTTGGAAGATATAACAATAGAATTCATTTAAAAATCYTTYGTCAAATTCTTCCAACATGGCGGCTATGCCGTCTATTGCAAACGAAGAATAGTAGAGGGGGGATTGTCTTGTTCTTACCTCGGAAGAATCGACCCCTACGATGAAATACAGCGAAGCATATCTTCGATAAACAACCTTGAAGTTTTTATACTCCATGAACGAGCACTGTGGAATAACAAGAACCAAAAGAATATGAGATTAAAGAAATAACAAGCTGATGTGTCGACAGTACACTGTACCTGATCTTCATTTCTGGTTAGACATTTACGGACAATTTCTGCCTCTAAACTACTTCTTTCTTCTAATTTAATGTACTCATAATACTGAGACAGCCGTGTTTGGCCTTGTTTGTTAACGAGGAATAAGAATTTCAGCATCTTTCACTCATGATGAACAACATTTCAGCTGAAAACTAGTTTCGCCCAGGCGTTGCTGGCGCGAGTAAAACCTGAACTGCGCATGAGTAGTAGATTCAAAACAAAGATGGCGGACAAAGTTGATGGTTGTGAACAAGAAACGTCCATCATTTCTATCGATGATTCTAACGAAAATCAAAGCGATGGAGGCATGAGTTCTACTCTTGAAAAGCGTTACAGCTTGAAAGAAGCCAACGAGATTGGAAAAGAGATGTTGGAATCAATACAAAGCGCGCTGGCCCCAAAGGTTTGCCGAGGCCGTGGTAAGACTGAAGACATCGAAGATCCTCATGTTAAAGCGTGGAAATACATGGAAGAATGCAATGTTTTGCTTATGTTAGAGGTAAATATTTGGTTTAGGAAAGGATTATATTTTCTATTGGTTCCAAAGGGTACCCTGATTCAACATATATTACCTTTAMATTATTTTAAAGATCTACCCATAGCTTGGTAAATATTTGCAGAGTGACCTGCCTGTGAAAAAAGGAGAAAAGAAAATGTAGAAAAATTAAATGGTTGTCAGTGTGTATGTAAAGCTCAATCTCTCTTATTCTCATCAACAATGGAAAACACTCCTTTACCCCTGTTTCCTTCAGTTTGATATAGATTATACAAGAAGTTTCTTGTTTATTAAATGATTGTAGTAGATGGGGAATTTGTCGATTGTTGTTCTATATATTAGTTTATATGTTGTTTAAAATTAGTTCCATACAATAACATACCATAATCCCCCCCCTCCACACACACACCCTTCCAGTTATTGACCCACTGTTCCCAAGAGGCTAAGTCAAATTTAAGAAAAACTGTTATCAGAAAATGCCATGCTGGGGCCTCTCTACCCAATCATATTGAAACCACTCCTCCAACAACAACAACTCCCTTCCACTACATCAAAACCACTGACACACCCTCTGTCCCTTCCCATAGACTAGATATTGGATACACTACTTTGCTAATGCAAATTTTCTCTCATTCTAGTTTACTCAGTAATGGTGTGGCATGACCACATTTTTTCTCCTTAATTCAACAAATTTCTAATATTTTGCTCCACTGAGTAATAAACTGGAATGAGAGAAAATTTGTATTATCAAAGTTTATTATATGACCGTGAATCTTAGAGCCTGRACACTAGCAAATCAAGCAATCTGATTGGATAGATCTCATTGCGGACTGGTCTAGATTCTCCGGTATTAACCGGTCCAATCRCATATTAATCTTACGGCRAAAACATTTTGTCCTTTTCAATGAAAAGTGGTCATATAATAAAACTCTTTTCAACCGAGCTTGGTCKGTCTGTACAGGATAATCTTGACCTTGGCGGGTACAGACCTYGGTCAAGATTATCCCGTACAGACCTCCCGCTCGGTTAATAAGATCTAAGTATTGGTGATATTGAAGCCACCCCACACTCTCCCAGCACCTTCGTATTCTTTCCGATTAGTCTAAGGAAGTCCACCCTTTGCTACATCACTGGCCACCCATTTTCTCAGAGCAATCTTTATAAGACTAAAAGCCTTACTTTTATAGATTCTCTTAACAAAACTGGTCTATGAAAAGCCTGAAGTCCCTATGCAGTTTATGGCAGAYGAAATACAGAAGATGAAAGGAAAAGATATAAGAAGTTACCAAGCCTACAAGGAAGAGAGTACTCAGAAATAAGCTATTAGGCTTTAGGTTTTATAGAGAAAGTTATATTTATAAAAATTACACACTTTGCTGTAATATATTTTATTCTGATTATATTTTATATTTAAAAAAATATTGTATATTGGACAGACTGATTATTAGATTTTTATTAGAGATAGAAAGCTGTCTCCTTTTTTTGATATTCATAGTTTTATGGTTAAGGTTTTTGGGAATTATTAAATCTATGGGTTATTAGATGCAAACAAAAAAAAAATTTAAAATTTATTTTGCTGAAGGGGAATTTTTGTATGAAAAAAAATGAAATAAAAAGTCAAACGTTCTTCAAATATACATGATATATTCCAGTAATTGTTGTTTTCTCCTTAATTTAATTTAATTTTTTTAAAGAGCTCATGACGAAACAACTAATATTTATGGCCCAAGAGGCAATATGATAGTGCCAACTTTGACTGGAACTAGGAATTCGTTCCTATTCACTTGACCCACCCTTTCCTTTTGAACGCGATGAGCCACGCATTCTTTTGCTCAGTGAGTGGTGATTGAGTATTAACGATTGGCCTCCAACAAATCTATCAAATCTTCATTATTGTTTGATTTTTATTGGCTTGACGATTAAAAGAAGAGTTCTCCATAATTTTGTTTTGTCGCAAATTAAAGAATTATTGGTTCCGGGAATAACCAGAAACAACCTAAAACCATCTTGCCTGCGCACGCAACGCAAGTCGTAAAACTTGTTCTAGGATCTTTCACAGGTGGAACTCTTCAAAATGCTTGAACTCGTTTCCGTCCGTAACCTACTGACCTTAATCAGGTCAAAAGACGATAATAAAACATTAACAAAAACAAATTATTGTGATTCGGCCAAACTTCAACCGGCCCTGCTCTTCCTGCTGCCGGGAAGGAACCATTTTAGACGAAAAAAAGTCATATTTTTTCACAAATCGAACGGTAAGGAGAGTTGTAAGCTTCTTTAGTAAATTACCCAGTTTCGTAAAAATTCTTTAAAGTTCAACATACAGCTTTTTTTACATTTATGAGGTTACGAATGAAAGAATAGAAAAACGATTTTCTTAAGTCGTTAGAATGACATGACGTGCTAACGCTAAATCAAACTTAACTGGTAAACCAACCCATCTCTAATCCCTTTCTTCCCACTGTATGTAGAGGGACATGTAGAGGGACATGTAGAGGGACATGTAGAGGGACATGTAGAGGGACATATGGTTTATCAATATTGATTACCTTTTTTCCAGATCGTTAGACGATGTATGTATCCTTGATAACGGTAACTTTGTTAGTTCTCTACGAGGTTCATCCTGATGAGGTGAGACAGCTTGACCAACTCACAATAGTCTCTATTCGATATGCGAAGGGACAAAACATTCTGAGATAAAAATGTAAGATTCATGCTAAATAAGAGAATAAATGAGGAAGCTTTAGGTAAGCTCTAAGGACTAAGCTCTGGTATACTTATCCTATGACAATGTGTCTAACCTAGCAAATAAGGTTGATTGTCTTCAAACATGTAAATCATAATTTGGTGCCATTCATATACGAAGTAACTGACTCTTTCGATCCCTATATCTCTTTAACCTGTTCAGTTTTGGAACACAGTATAGGTCGGCATTGTGTGATGTCGTAATAAATGGTCCAATCACAATCAATTCACTACTTGTTTAACATGGTTTAGTACCCCGGGGAGGGGACTCCGGAAAAAAGTACCGGGGATGCTCGTCGTATCTCTTAGGGGTAAAAATTCGCGATGTGGTATCTTTTAGGGTGTTAAATGCGAATTTTTGAAAATCAGCATTTTCTGGTATCTCTTAGGGTGTAGGAAAAGGAGAGAAGGCCACAAGTTTATTAGTGTAGTACACTATTTAGTGCCACCCTCATTAAATAAAGTTGTTATTATCATTATTATTATAGAAGCGCGCATCGATATGGCTTATCCCAGGCGCTTTTTATATAAAATTCAATCTTATTTGTTGTGGTATCTCTTAGGGGTTAAAAATCATTCAGCCACTCCCTTTTTTAAAGACTTCCGGTATCTTTTAGTGGTGCTTTTGAAAATTTTCGACGAGTATCCCCGGTACTTTTTTCCCGGAGTCCCCCCCCCGGGTTTAGTACTGATAATTTGGTAAAGCGGGAAAAAAGATTAAATAACGGTGTTCAATGGTTTGATGACGTAGGGCCGTATGATTGGCAGATTCAGAAGAGATACCAGCCAACCTCATGTCGAAGCCATCTACAGTAGATACAAACAGCAATCACATGGAGAGGTAAGGATTTGATTTTTTTTCGAAGCACCATCAACCTTGAGGTGCAGCACTTACGAAAGTGAATTTCGAGTTGCTTTCCCGTATAGGCAACTTACTATGGCAACTATCCTGGTGGAGGAGCATGCTCTCTAGACCCCTTGTCACCGCTGGCTAGTCAACCAGGATGGATCAGGGTCGCAGCCGGAAGGGAGGATTTCCAGAACAGTTTAGGCTGCGGTATGTGTCTGGAGATTACGGGCACTGGTAAAGGGAAAGGAACGGATCCAGTGACAGGTACCTTGAGAGCAATTGTACATGACCTGTGTGGCGGATGCAAGCAGGGTAAGATATATTTTAGTTCATCTATTTATCCCGTGAGTTATTTCCCTCCCATCATTTAGTCTATCACCCTTCCTTTGCAGGGGCGGCGGAAGCTAAAAGTCTTTGGGGGGGGGGTGGGGGGGGGGGGGGGGGTCACTGAAGATTATATTTAACGCTATGTGATAATGACAATGTTTTGTTTGATTGCAGACGCATGCGCCGTAAAATAATGACTAAGAACCAAAACATTTGGTGGGGGAGGGGGGGCACGTGCCCCCCCCCTCCCCCGGTTCCGCCGCCCCTGCTCTGCCTTTTCTTTCCTTCAGTACTTTCTTTCTCCCTCCTCTCTTTCTTTCTTATTCACACCTCTCATTCCTATATTCCTCCAATCCTTCTTCGAGTCAGTCTCCAAATGTCCATTTTATAATTCGTTCATCTATTGATTTGTACAAAACCTACCCCTGACCAGGTGACTTCAATCCCCTACCATTCTAGTTCGCCTTTRATTTCCTCTCTATCTTCCTTCTAGCCATATATTCTCTCCATTTATTAATTAAGTCATTTATTCACTTGCACAATTTGACCTCAAATTCCGAAAGGTGACTTGGACCTCTACATACCTGGTGATGGAAGATGGGAAATCTTCTTTAAAGCCATCGACTGCCCCATCGTAGAGGGTACCAGTGGTAACATCATGATGAGGTTTACTGGCAGTAACCCATGGTATATCAAGTTGCAAGCACGTAACACCAGGTGAGGGCAGCTAAACCTAATAATATTCAAATTATTCCCCTTGAATGAAAGTAAGTGGCTTGGCCATTTTGTAGACGCGCCGAAATTGTACCAAACCTCTCAACAATCACCTATTAAGTGGGAAACCTCTATATAGCGACCAGTGGTCAAAGTCCCAAAGGGGGTTTTGCGCTAAAAAACACCAGTAGTCTATTAATCATCCAACCTCTGTTAAACGGCTACCTATTAAGCAGCCTCTAATTAGCGACCACATGACAATTCCCAAATTGTGTCCCTGACTTATAGACTGTTCTTTGTTTATTAAGCACAAAATCTTTGCTCGTTGCTCAAGAAGGCTCCCAGATGTGAAATTCGACTCGTGCCTATCCTATTGTTAAATGCTGCAAAGCAAAGCCAGCCCTTGAATAGTTTTTTTTGTACACAGGGTTCCCGTGGCAGGGATCGAGGTTCTTAAAAATGGCAAATACTCTTGCTTAAAGCGTGTCAACGATAACTATTTCGTGGGGGACCGGCTCGGTAAGGTGGATTTCCCCATGCAAGTGAGGCTGACCGCTGTAACGGGTGAACAGAGAGAGACCATTATCCCCGCCATGAAGAACGACCAGGACACTATAACTGATATCCAGTTCACGGGCAGCGAGGCTGGTGGTAAGTATGTGATACATGACGTCACTTCTGCTGGTATGGAATCATGTATGACATCACTTCCGCACTAAAATGACAGGGTAAATTTGGAGTGCATGTGAACAAACTCAGTAATGGACGTACCGTTTTTTGATCATGCCATTGTCTAATAATCATTCTCATTGGATGAGCAATTTTTATCTCAGGAGGACCGTCTTCTATCAAGTGTATGGGACAAGGCAACAACTCACCCTACCCCCCAGGAGGAATGGGTAAGTAAAATGATCCCCTTCCGGATCCCTTGCAATGCTCTTTCCCCACATCGATAGTACCGAAAAAACTAAATGAATATCAAATACTGAATTTACTATGTTGGTTTCAATCCCTAGAGCCCGGTTCCTCTGGCGTATCACCCGGCCAGCCTACACCTGGTCCAAGTCCAGTGCCTTCACCAGCACCAGCACCATCTACAATCCCTCCCACTTATCCATCAAGACCAGGTAACTTTATATAATTAGCAATTATTCGCCGAAGGCGAAGTGAATGTCGGGGAATATTTACCGAGACGCGAGTCTTCGAGTCTTCGAATCTTCTTTTAGCAAAACTTTTAGGCCATACTTCGTTGCCTTTTTAGTATTGATAGGAATGGCATTTACTTATTCATTTTTTCAATTTCCTCATCGGAAATCATAGCAAAACGATTGCCGGCAGATGCCATTTTGTTGCCGACTCAATATTCCGAGATTCAGAGGTGAATATCGTACAATATTCACCTCCRATTAACCAATGAGCGCGCGCGTTCTTAGGAAGTACACAAGTTGGTATATGCTAATATTCTATATTTACCTTTCCATTTTCCTATTAAGTTCTTTGTTGTCTTTCAAGGGCGTCCAAAAAATGCTAACGAACTTTTCCCTATCGGAGTCGATTTTTTGAACTCAGCACTTCATCTGATTAGACTTTGTTATGTCTTTCTTTTGATTCGAAGGTTTTTATTTAGGTTCCTCTCCAGATCCCCCTTCAACCCCTTCCCAAAAATTTAATCTTCATTTCAATTCGATCTGTTATTTAGCCGCGCCCTGACTTTGATCAACCAAAGGTATTTTCAAGGTATCAATAAAATTTGAAGAATTAACAAAGTTTTGTAATTTGTATTCGTCCTAGAAAATGTCAACTTCTGTAAGCGACGTAAGGGAGGAACGTATCCAGATCCTGACAGATGTAGCGGGTTYATCATTTGTAACATTGGTAACACCCATAGGATGACATGTGGTGATGGTCTTTTGTTCAACCCCAATGGCATGAACTGTGACTTACCAGGAAGAGTAGACTGTGGAGATCGACCTCTGGACAGTCCTAAAGACAACCATGAGGACATCCAAGGACAGTTTGGTGACCAAGTACAGGAAACTGGGATCCATGGACAACCCAAAATACAGGAAGAAAAGCCAATAGGGGAACGTCTGAGAAATGAGTCCCTACCCTTTAGAGGAGGCCACTTTTCCGGGGAGATTGCTAATAGTCAAGAAAAGCCAAAAATAATGGCAGACCATGGTCCAAGAGATGATAAACAGACACTAAAGACAGGTAGTGCAAATTCTCCCAGCTATCAAGAGTTTGACGACAAGGTGGAAGTCGATGACACTCAAGAGACCCCTTCTATTCGACTCGGCGTAGACTTCCGTGAAAGTAAAAAAGAAGAAAAGAGCGATGACTCCAAACAAACTGATACCAACCATGTAAAAACGACAAGTTCGAAAGAACCAGTTCTACATGTGCTGATTAATGGCGATACAAACCTTACCCCTATGTCATCGTCAAGCAAATCAGACGATGAGACAAGCAAGCCTAGACCTTCTTTCCAGATAATGGTCAACAAGGACGGTATCAAGGCAAGCTTGGGTCGAAACCAAGAAGAACGCAAGAAAATGGACGACAGTTCTAATTCTGACTCCGACACACAAAAAACAAAACACACTTTTCATTTCGTCATTAATAATGATCAGAGAAAAAGAGTTAACGACCAAGCTGAAGAGAGTAATTCAGGTGCAAGTAAGCAAGAAGGAAAAGTTGGTGGAGGAGATGAAGAGAGAATCTCTAAACCCAATTTTGAGCTGACCATCAAAAATAACAAGGACCAGGTCATTGGTCAGGAAGAACAAAGACAAAAGCAGTTAGAATATCATGATGGTAACAATGATGATCAAGCAGAACAAGGTAATGGAAAGAAAGGTCAAAATATGACACGTGGTAGTCAAGGTGATGATCATCCAGCTCGCGGTATCCATAATAAGGAAATACCTAATGGTCAACAAACTCAGACACTGGATGCAGTCAAACAGAACGTGAATGAGGTGAAGAATGTTAACAAGGAGGCCAAAGTACAGCACTTGAATGGTGCAGATAAAGGAAACGAGCCTGGAATGGACATTAAATTCCTTCCACCGATGCCACTACATGACCGAAACTTTTCTACTAACGCGAGCCAAAATACGAAAGTTATGAATGCCCAAACTAGCAATGATAATGTTTCTATCAAAACACCTGTTAAAACGAGTGATGATACATTAAAGATTGGTTTGGTCCAAGGTGACATCAACAAAAGTAAAGAAGGAGGACGAATAACTCAGAATAATACGCAAGCAGGTAACCAAGAAAAAGTAATTGAGATGAAAAAAATTAATGTCAAGGAAATCGAATCGACAAAACCGAATAATGCACAACAGTCAAATCATCGCACCAGTGGTGTAAACATTATAACAAAGCCTTTAGGACACTTGCCTATAACTAGTACCATCACCAAGCCAATTGAGGCAAGCCACCAGGATAGCTTGAGGTTTAAACCACCCCAAAGTGCGTTTAAACATCCTTTAGAAACCTTGAGCYTTGAGAATCAACGACAAACTTCTATTTCTAAGGAGCAGCTTAAAGTAGAGAATGTCAAGACCACTGAGCATACAGATAAGTCATTGGCACAAGATTCGATGGGGAGTTTGGAAAAGAATAGAAAAGAACCGGGCACTGAAAAAGGAAGTGAAAAACCAGAGAAAGCTATGGACACCAGTGATGTTAATGCTCCTGAAAATTCCGAAGGCGCCCAGGTAAAGGTCAAGAGGCCTACCCTTGATATTCTAGTCAATGGCAACAGTGGAAGAACGACCGAACTACGAATGAGAAACAGCAACAATGAGATCGCACGACTGAACGACGTGGGTGGGAAGCAAACAACAAATCGTAACCCAGTCATTGGCATTACCATCAAACATAAGGGAGGCCCAGACCATCACATTCTTTTCAGCAAGCGGCAACGGCTCTCAAATGACAAGCTTCGTCATCATCACAAACATCACTAGACCAATACTATATTGGCCTGCGCTTAGTGGTCTGATTGTAGTTTTGAAAGGACAAAAGACGTTTCAGAAAACACAGACATGTTAATGTTTAAAAAAATCATACTCATTGAAAACAAACTTGGTCTAAAATAAGAAAATGTTATGCCTATCGTTCTTTAAGAACGAAAAAAACAAAGTTGAAAGTCATAAAGTTATGATAATTCGAAAGTGTCACAGAAACAAATAATTAGATATTATTACAAATGAAAAATAAAGCTTAATGGTGTTAATTTATTCGTGTCAATTAAAAATGATTAGTCTGAAGTGTGAGAAAAGACTGCATAATCCTATACATTCATCCAATCTAATTCAGGTCCATTGTTATTCTTATACGTTCATCCAATTTTATTCAGGTACATTAATTTTTATTCCTATACGCTCATCTAAGTGATCTAATTCAGATCCATTCTTATTCCTATACGTTCATCAAACCTAATTTGGTCCATTCTTATTCCTATACGTTCATCTAATCTAATTCAGGTCCATTCTTATTCCTATACGTTCATC